CATGTTATCTCATCAAAACATCCCCTTCATAAACCCATCTAGTTTACTCTTGAAACCAGATAGATCTTTTGCCCCTACTACTTCCCTTGGAAGGCCGTTCCAGAACCTCACTCCTCTAATGGTTAGAAACCTTCGTCTAATCTCAAGTCTAAACTTCCTACTAGCCAGCTTATATCCATTTGTTCTTGTGTCCACATTGGTATTAAGCTTAAATAATTCCTCTCCCTCCCTGGTATTTATCCCTCTAATATATTTAAAGAGTGCAATCATGTCTCCCCTCAGCCTTCTTTTGGTTAAGGTAAACAAGCCAAGCTCCTTGAGTCTCCTTTCATAAGACATGTTTTCCATTCCTCGGATCATCCTAGTGGCCCTTCTTTGTACCTGTTCCAGTTTGAATTCATCCTTCTTAAACATGGGAGACCAGAACTGCACACAGTATTCCAAATGGGGTCTCACCAATGCCTTGTATAATGGCACTAGCACCTCCTTATCTCTACTGGAAATACCTTGCCTAATACATCCCAAGACCGTATTAGCCTTTTTCACGGCCATGTCACAATAGCGGAAGGGTGTCTGCTCTTGTGTAAAGTGCTACATAGTTCTGTTTTGTGTTTCAGCTACACCAGACTAACACGGCTACATTTCTATCACTGCTCTTGTATAGTGGGAGGATCTTTTCTTGAACTAGCTTCTCTTAGTGCAAGAAATAAAGCTTTTGAGCTCAAGTGGGCTTTGTACAGACCCAGCCCACCAATGCTGAACACTACCTAGCTGGGACTTTGCAGTCACACTCCTGCATTGTACAATTATCCCACATGTACAGCTGTGACGCCCGCACAGAGATGGGCCCACCATGCCCCTTTGTACTCCATAGCTGAACAACAGATGCCTACAGCCCTAGCATGCATAGACCTGAAGAGAAGGGGAGAACATTCTAACCTTTGGCGGTTGTTTGTGGCCCTCTCAAGCACTTTGCTCACTTCATTATGAGGAATCTCAGCTGGGGATGCTCTTTATTCAAAATTGATGTTTAGCACAAAAAACCAGAAGCAGCTATCGGGGACAAACTATTGCTGAAAGGGAAGCCAAAGGAGTTAGCCCAGGCAACATTTAAGGCTGTTCTTCCCCCTACTAGGGATGTTAGTGTATAGTCATGTAAATGATAAGTCCAAGCTTATCGGTTAATCCAAATGACTCCATGCATGACTCCAAATGACTCCGTGGGATCCTGGTGCAACCTCTGTCCGTAGGGAGCTTGGGCCCACTGTAGACAGAGGCTGCGGCCACCCTGTGCTGCTGCCTCTATACAGAGGCAGCAGGGTGGTGTGGGGCTGGGAGTGCCCTGGCTGCCAGCCCCTGCCCCCAGGGACCACTGAATAATCGTGTAACCACTAAGATTGTGAGGTTACATGATTATTACATGAAATGAGATCTAACATCCCTGCCTCCTACCATCATTAAAATGGAAAGGGAAGGGGAAAACTAAGCTTTTTCCAACCACTCTTTTCTTACCTCCAGAGTGAACAAAGTGATTCTAGGTTACAATTTGGGTGCCGAAGAGGCCATGAGTTTCATCACTAGACTTCAATAAATGCTAGTAACCTTTTGACTGCTAAGGTACCCAACAAATCAGCAAAATTGTTCATGCCACAAGCCAGGCAAACCAGAAAAACAGTGGGAGGACATGTTTCTCTTTAGTAATGAAATAATTTATTTTCTAACAGTTGAACAATACAGAAGTATACATATACACAGCAAGGTCTTCTAAAACATGTAGTTTCTAAAAATGCATGTGCTAACTGTAATAAAAAGCACCATTATATGGTCTTGACACAGGATTCATAATGATGTGGTATTTACATTAGGAACTGAACATCTGGAAACAGAATTCATATTCTCCCATCTGCTGCTCCCCTGTTTAGTTCGTTTACTATTTGGAAGACTGCCAAAAATAAAGCTGATGGTTCCACAGCAGAGTTGCTAAGAGCACCAACTTGAGGAAGGGAAATAGGCAAGTTTGGTTCTTTTATCAATTTGAAGGAAAACAAAACAACAACAGGAGAAACAGAACTGGTCAAAATTCCAGGTCAATTAAGTTTGGGCACTTTGAAAAAAAAAATCCAAATACCTGTAAGTTTTACAGTCATGCAACAGCTATTCTGCAAATAGCAACTGGGTAGAAATGCCATCAAGTTCATTCTTTCACCTGAACAACATGTACAAAAAGCTTCTTCCAAAATAATAAATGCTACAAAAAAACCCTCCAGCTTATTACACCACAGATGTTTAAAAAACAAAAAACAACAAAACACTAGAGCAGAGAGAGGTTTGAACATTAGATGATTATCTGGGGCTGGAACATTTGGGTGATTTCTTCCATACCCCACCAATGTCTACTCAGCTAGCTATTCACACAGCTGTCGCGTGAATTTAATGTTTCAATAATGCTTGGGAATGAGGTACCTGTTTTTACTACTAGACAGTATAAACAACTTGCAGACTAAGCAGCAATAAAAAAGCAACAGAATATACATTTTCAGGGGAGCAGACATATAGCCTGGCAAAAGCAGAATTCTTCTCAATACATTACAGTGTCAAAACCTGAAATTTGTTACAAAAGGGGCAAAAGAAGAACTCAAAGCCCTATCGTATTGCTAGATAGTATTTCAGATGCCTGTTTCATCTACTTCACACACTTTGAATGAGCAAGGGAAAGCCTATGTAAGGCTCTTGGCTACATTTGTAGGCCTAGTGCACAGATTTCTAGTTCTGGAGCGACAGAGCTTTCTTTTTGTTTTCAGAGCTGATGTAGAGCTGTAATGGGTCTGGAACCGGGGGAGAGAAGTGCCTTATTAGAGAACAAAGTGCTAAAGTGGCAATTGGCAGACCATGGCCTGCTAATGTCCAAATCTCAGAAATGTTTCAGATCGTATAAGATGTTTAAAGTTAGTGGCACCTACAGTGCTGCTCAAAACAGCGCTCTTTGAATTTTCATCTTAAGTTGGTACTAGCAACAACCCTGGAAATTCACATGATGGGACTCTCAGCACCTTGAAGTGTTGAAAGCTCTGCTTTGTATAGTAGTTAGATTCTGGGTGCTCACTCACAAGAACAAGGTCCATAGGTACAAACAATACTTTAGAATGTTTAAGACAGACGACCATCATTAACACATAGGTTACTGCAATTTTTCTCTGCTTTGATTATTAAGTGCAAGAGTTTCTAATTTCTCTTCCAATTGAGTGCGTGCTTGGTTTCACCATTTGCACTAAAACTTACCTATGGCAGTAATTTTATAATCTGCCCTTTTCACAAGAAAAAGTGTGTTTTATATATTCACACATCTGTGCAACTATCAATTGTAAACTTGGAATATACAAGTAGTCCCTCACTCCCCTAACAATCTACTTATTTTTAATTTCTGCAGCTTATTTAGTAATAATGCTGGTGGATCAGTGAATTCAAGGAAAAGGCTGGCAAAACAGAACAATGCTACTAGTTCAGCAGCCTTGGAAGTAGTCTTAGCTGCCTGAGGGTTGGGCTCATTGGATTAGTAAAGAGGACCAGAGATTTGAAGCTGCCAAGGAAGGTCCTAGCCAATACAAAAGTGGCCTTGGAGCCCACAGTAGCAAAATTTACTGCACCTGCCTAGAGTTTTGGAAAAGACACCATGTATACCCTTGTGTCAGTTTTGACATTAGTGCATCATTTTCAAAGTTCAACATTTTCTATGCCATCAAAATTGAGCGGACCACATCCAAACAGTGCAAAGGTCAAATAATTACTGTTTTTTATAGGGACACCACACAATATTTTCACCAAAAAAAGAATGTAGTTAACTCAAAAAGGCACAACAATTAAAAACACATTACGCTGAATCCTTAAGACTGTATTTCTAAATTAAAAAAAAAATCATACGAAGCACACAATTTCATATTTCAAATAACCCCTTCAATGCTTTCCAAAAATCTAAAGTTACTCTTACCTTCAAAAGGTAGCAATATCTGCGCAACTCTAGGTTTGGTTTTGTGAGGCAGTTTATACGCTTATTTAAAAGGGGAAAAAGCAAGAGAGATCTCAAGGAAAAACATCTTGAGCAAAAGATCCCAAAGTGCAGATATTCAATTTTTTTTTAAAGTTTACAGGTTTTGAGCTAGCTCTCTGAAGATTCTCTGCTTGTACACAGGAAGCAGGCTTAAAAATGCAAAAGGCATACACGTTGTAGTTCAGTGCAAATTTGCTGGACATCTGAAAATCCCAGCTGTTTAAAAAAAATCCTTTTTTTAAAACATAGCGCACACAAAGACTATACTTTGGAGATTTTTAAGCAATCCACTAGCCCCATTTCCCATCTTTTCTTTTCTAAAGAGTTCAAATTATCCAAAAATAGCTTGAGGATATTTTAAGAAAACAAGTCTCCTTTTATATAGTTTGCTCATTTGCACTTGACAGTGTCTTAGTGGCTTTTGGCAGCTTGACTAGTTCAGTCTCCTGAACTGCATTTTTAAAGACTGCAGGCAAGTGTGAAAGCCCACTTTTGTTGCCTATCACTAAATAAGCTATATAGCCCTTTTATATAGTGAAGTTGCTCAGTTGGATATTAGGGCTTCTCTGGTCATCTTGTACCAGCTGGTTATATTATCGGAATCAAATATTGAATATTCACCGTGAGAGAGTTTGCCAAGTGGGCAGAATATAAAGACCTTAAAATGTTTCAAGCAAAGAGGACTGAAGAAAAATCTATCTATATATTATATATATATATTTCAGTTAGCAGACCTCTACATACAAAGTTTCCAGAACATCTATAAAAGCACAAAGTCATAAGAATGTCTCTCCATTACATTAGTTTTATATAAAATGAATAAATACTATTTATAGATCATGTGTATTATGTACATTTACATGTGCTCTATTTAGCTTAAATGAAAATGTTGCAAGGTTGAAAACCACTTTTTGGGGGGGACAAATATTAAGGTTTAACCTGGCAGCAAAAATCTTTCGTGAGCCACTTTTAGAGTGCCTTATGATTCAAGTCAGGGAGTGCTTTAATGCCAATGGCACTTCACTGAATAATTGTAGCATCATAGTATTAGCAACATCCTGTAAAACGTGCCCAATCACTGGCACCCAAAGTTAGCACAGCTAGCTTCGTCACTCAGTTATTGCTAATATTTGTAGTCAAACAGATTTGAACGGGACCAACCATTGCTTCTAGAAACAAATGAGGCATAATTATTTTTGTGCTAAAGGGATTGAGATAATCTTTGTTCATCTCTCTGAGGTAGAAAAGAATTGTCCCAGAGATGAGAAGCAAGAACAAACTTCTAGGAAAGCTTGCCTAGAACAGTATGCAGCTGTAATGCAATGAGGTCACAATAAATTGCACAGGAGAAATAGTACCGCTTGGGTTTGGTTATTGAAGAAACTGGGATGTGCAAGGCTGAAGACATCCTATCAAGGAACCTGCAAGAAGTGGAGCATTAGATCTGTTTTGCCAAGGTCTTGCAGCCCAATCTTGCAAGAGCTTCACAGAACATCCCCAAATCGGTCCCCATTGTCCCACAATAGTCAAAACTCCCACTGTCATTTGCTGGCTGCTGATCTGAGAGTTCAAGGGGGTTATTCTCGAAAGTAAAGGCTGCAAATCTACAGCCCTTGGAACTTGAAGTCAATGGGAGTTTTGAAAGAGGTGGGTCCAAAGGACTGGATCACGTGGTAAATTTCCAAAGCAACAGATGAGATTTTGTGACAGGATTCTCACAAGCAACAGTGACAAGACAGCTGACATGCTCCACATTCTACTTTGGAAAGTTTAGTCCACCCATTTCCAGATCTATACTATGAGGAAGTTTGTTTCCCCCTTCAGATTGTTGATCAAACAAAATTCTGTTTAGCCACTAGTTCTGGATATTAGATGTGTTCAGTTGCTAAGCAAAGACAAGGTAGGTCTAGAATACTAGACAACAACATCAAAGACAAAAAAGAGGGGGGCAGGGTGATTGTTACGGCTAAAATATTCTTGGGTATTTCAAAATGTGGTTGGAATGTACAGTCTCACAGAGATGAGTTTACTGACAGAAAGAGAAGCTAGTGGATGCAATCAGATGTGTGCTCCAGAGAGTAGCTTGTAACCCACAACCCTATGCACTGTTTCAGGACTTAGGCAAAGCTGATTTTGCTAATGTTGGTGGTACATTAAATTTACGTGCAAGAGAATTGTGGGACGGTCCAATATACTACCTAAAAAGATCCAGCAGGGAAACTCAATGGATGGAACAGCTACTGAGTTGCTTCTTATAGACTGAGAGAAGGCTTGTGATTGTTCTGCAGCTTTAATCTCTTAATGCCAGAGCTGGAATAGCCCTCATCACTACAGATGCTCTGCATGCTTCCTCTTTCATCCGAATCACTAGGACTGCTGCTGCTCCAGTCCAGGTCTCCCATTAGATAGTCTGTGCTTTCGACATCCACATCAATTTCTTCTGCAAGCCAAAAAAGAGTAGTGTTGGAACAACCTGAGAAAGCATTTTAAGGTTTCCACTCCAAGTACAGCTATCCTGAGCCAACTGAAGTGCCTCACCTCTGTCAGAATCTGACCGCTCTGAAGAAACAGTAGATCCTATACTGTCCATTCTTATTCTTTCTATGCCCAGTTTCTCCAGCTGCCTTTTCAGATGCCGCTGTTCTCGCTGCAATTGATCTATTTGGTGTACTGCTTTTCTATCATAGTCTTCAAGCTTCTGTGGGTTGAAAGACATTGTTAGTTCTTCTGGACGTTATGAGCTACGGACAACATTTACAAGCTTACACACTTAAGTGAGTGGCCTAATTTCCAGACATGGGTACTTAGCACCTTTGAAAGACAGATCACTTAGGCGTTTAACTATGGCTTTAGGTGACTGATGATAGGTACCTGTGTATGGCCTAGATTCTACATGTTTTAAGAATATGTATTAGAGGTAGTTATGAACCAAACACATTTTTAAAGGAAAACAACTGAAGCACATAGCTCAGTGAAAATATCTGTTTTATTACACCCGTAATTGTGCTGTCAGCATTTCAGACAACTCATCTCTCCCCTCCCCTCGCTCCACCCCACGCATCCCAGTTTACCGGAAGGAAACAGAGTCATTAGATTTTACAGAAGCCGACTTGGCAGACTTTTCTTGTTTACTTGGACAGTGGGAAAGAAACAGTTTGGGGGCTCTCATGGAGGGGCTACAACAGGGGAAGAAGTTATTTTTTTCTGCAGGGCTCTGGTGCAGGAGCCAGATCTCATAGCGTAAGAGGTTAGGACGGAGCTGTCGCTGGATTACAGTTTTCTAATGGCAACATGGGGATGTGAATAAATAATGCTTCCCTCTGAACACTATTTTTATGCAATTATCTGGCAGTGGCTCAATCCTATTAATATGTATTCCAAGTCTTTGATCTTTAGCTATTTGTAATCAGATGGATGCCAACCAAATCCTGCAGTACAACCCCCTTTATCTTCCACTTAACAATACTATGCACTCTAAAAATATTTGGTATTGCTAAGGAAATATATCAAAACTTTCAATTGAAAGTTAAATATTTGCTTCCTTTAAAAAAAAACAGTACAAATATTGAGACAAACTGTTTGGGGCACAGATTATTTTATATTTGTACAATGCCCAACCCTCACTCACATCTCCAGATGCTACTACAGAAATATATGGGCGACATGATACCAAAAGCATGGCCACAGAGACAAGAGAAAAGTTTGTCTACAAGGACAGAGTCTTGGTTCACAGGATCTTGAATCCACAAATGCTGTCAGGCAGTTTAACCATGTTAACATGTTTGAACAATGTAAACCAACTAGTATCTATAAGCTACAGCATCACAATTAGCTTAGAAATCAAAGCCCTTTTTCTGTCAGGATGCTATTGTAAAGCTAGCATTGTTGCATCTTAACTCTTGGCTATAAGAGAGATTTTTTCCCTTTACAGATAGCAAGGCCTTCAGATATGCAACACACATCAGCTCCATGTTTCCGCGTGTCAGCATTTTCCTCAAGACAAGACATACGTCAGAACCCTGTTACTCAAGAAAGCTGTAAACATTTAGCACTGTCAGGTCAGAATTAAGGCTTATTTAGGGTTTGAGCCACAAAGCTGAAGTTTTGTGAACCCTCAAAGGTGACCCTCTTGGTAACTCTTTTCTCTTCTCCCTGGCAGTAGCACAGAGCTTCACCCTGCTACTTTAAGTCCATCTACAGCAAGTGGTAAGAAGCCATCCACCCAGCTGACACTTATTTTTCAGCCTCCCTGGGGGAGGCTGAGAAATTAAGTTAAACTTTCAGACAGAATTCGTCTTGACTGATTGCGACTAAGAGCATCAACAGAAACTATTTTGGGGAATCATTGTCAATTTCATCCCTATCCTGTTTCAGACACATCTCTTATTGGTACTTCACTTGTTTGTTAGAGACAGATTTCAGAAGTGGCCATAACTAAGGAACTGGTCCTGAAGCAGGATTTTAGCCACACAATTCATTATCAAGCAGATGTTTTCACAGCAATTTATTCAGGAACATTGTGCGCTCATTTACATACATTAAGCTAGCTTGAACTTACCTTTATGTGCAATTTAGCTGTAGTTAGTAAACTCAGGGTAGTATGTCTATTGGATTCAGGCCCAAGTGGTACCAGCCCTTTCAGCTTCTCCAGACACAACCGCAGATGAGCACGTCTTTAGAAAACAAAAGTTCAGACATCATGCTAAATAGTCATTCTGTGGTCAGCAGCAAGTAGTTAGGATTCAGCATCATTCAAAGCCACTCACATGCACAAGAAGCCATGGCAAATATAATAAAGGTAAGTAACACAACTGGCAACAATAGAAGCAGTTGGTAACTGGGGTTGGAAGAATAAAAATATCCATTCCTTTCTACTTTTGGAAAATGAATCGTGCATCCTGGCATATTTAAGATGCTGCAAAGAACAGCTCTCAGGAAGAAAATGCACTAGCATTCTAAACCATTTTAAGTTTCTTCAGAATTACACTTGAGAATTTTAAGAGGCAATGGGAGAAGCCAGAGAAAAAGGTTTCAACATACAATTGATTATACCCATGACCATCTCAGTGCATGTAAAGTGTAAGAATGACGTCAATTAAGGGGGGGTATAGTTTTTTAAAAATGGAAATAGGAACAGCAACATCACATTGTATGTCATGTAAAGCCCAATGCTTTTCAATGTACATGCCCCCCCGCCCCAGCCAGCTCTCAAGTAGTATATAGTTTCTCTGCTCTACACTCTGGCCATCTATCTACTGCCAGTGCGGCCATGCAAGGTAGGGCTGGTGCACATCATCTTCAACAAGGTAGCCGCAGACGTAATCTCTTCCATGAGCATTTCTAGCCAAATCCACAGCTGGTTACAAAGGCCTGATCTACAGAGAAAGCATTTGCCAGTAGAGCTATACTGGCGAACCCTAGCTTTGACACAGCTTTTACTACTATAGCTTATCCTAGTTCCCGGAATAAGATTAGCCATAGCAGCAAAAGGATTTTTTTGCATTTGCACTAGGGTTTTTGCTGCTATGCGTATGTCAGTTAGAAGCATTCTTCTCATCCCACCCCAACCAAACTTCTAAGTTTAGACCTATCAAGCATTTCTCATGACAATCTTTCCTTTACTGCACCCATTTACTACACAGGTTGTTAAGTGGGTAAGAGGATTTTTTTTAAACGTGTTGCCTATTCATTTTATTTGGTGACCCCCCGTTGTTGTAAGTACACAATACTTATTTACTTTTTCTGCTCCTATCATGATTTTATAGACCTCTATTATTTGCCCTGTCATCATTTCCAAGCTGACAAGTCCCAGTCTTATTCTTTCATCATATAACTGCTGATAATTCAGTTGCTCCAGCCAAATTTTTTTTAAAAAGTTGTTTTATGCATTGGCTCTCTGGTGGCACTGTGTAGACCAGCCCTTTGTGTTGTGCTGGAGGCAGTGTACTATATTAAGACCGCAGGTACCTTAAAAAAAAATCTGACTAGCCAGGAGAAAGAGACTGAACAAGAAACTGCACTACCAGCTGTGGTCTTCTGAACTACAATCGAAGTTTTGTAAGCCAGCAAAGTGTTAAGAGCACTTCCAATCCAAAGCTAGGCATTCATGGGAGTATTAACTTTACATTTCAGGTACAAAGCATGGACTGATGAGTATTTTGGTGGCAATGCTTTAGACAAAGGAGAGATTTCAAATATTCATTGTGTTGGAATGTTGTGCCGGACCCATGCTTTTCCTCCGGAACTTATATCTTTACTGGTTAGAGCTCTACCACTCATGCATAGGACCTTGGACCAGTGACTTTTCAGCAGTGTGATGCACCCACAACTCTCACAGTTTTTCATAGTAGTTTGCATACTCAGGATCTCTGGGGGGAAAAAGCCGATTGTCTCACCACACCAGAGCAGAGTTAGGCCAAAGCTGAGTTTCAGAGAGTCCCACCCATAGGGTATGTCCAATAAGACACTTGTAGCTAGCCCATGCCAGTGACTACAGCTGCAGGGCTGTGAAATTCAAGTGTAGACACTAGGACTTGGGCTCCAGCTTCAGCCTGGGATACTCCCCCTTCATGGGGTCTCATACCCAGTCTCCCGCCCACAGAGGCCAAATCAGGGCTACTCAACATGTGGCCTGTTTTTTTATGGCTTGTAGTGCAGTTTGAGTTTACGTGGGGCTTAACACGCAGCCTGCGGGTGGGAGCCCAAACAAAAAAGGAGTTAACATAATGGTCTTCTGTCGACGTGTGTGTTAAATTCCTGGACTGTCATTGCTCATTAAAAGTGCTGTCATATAGGTGGAAATTAGGTAAATATTGCATTTTATTAATATCAGCAGAACTGACTTAAATGGGGCCTCTGTGTTGTGTAATCTTGCCTTAATCTTTGTGTTCATGCCCATCAGTGTCAAAGAAGCTATTTGCATATATTTGCATGTACATGCAGCCACACTTAAGTCGTGGCCCTCGGCATGTGCTGTGAGTATCATTGTGGCCCCTGGGGCTTCCAAAGTTCAGTAGCCCTGGGCTAAATGATGCCTTATGCATTTGGTCAAAAGCAGATTTGCTACTAGTATGGTCAAGTTGACCAAATGCATAAGCAGATTTGCTACTAGTATGGTCAAGGATGACATCAGCTGCACATGACAGCTTACCTGACAACGCTTGGTGTACTGAACGAACTGACTATTTTCAAAAATATCTGCATCCCATCATGTTAATTCGTTGATAAATGCAGTGCCTCAGCACGTCAGTATTACACAGCTGTAAACTGAGTACATCTTTACAAAGGTTTCCTTGGCCTAACCTTTGTTTATTCCTCCCATTAATCAGTTACATATCAATTGCGCTGGTGTATGCATCTTCATTCATAAACAATCGGTTTTATTAAGCTTTATTCTCATCACAACTATGCTACAGTAGCCAAATCCCACCATAGGAGTTCTCTAGCCTTTGACAGTGGTTGGAAGCCCATAGACAGAATATGCTGTTTAGTGTGATCCGTGCACATAGGAAAGCAACTGGGCACTTGCCTACAGCAGCTATGTGAATGACAAAATACACAGCTAGCTTTTCAGATACTCAAGGAAACAGCTTCATTAGGCTACCGGGAGTGAGGATAGATCAAGAAGGTAAGTTTCAATACTATTCAAGTGCTTTTGTTGTACCGGACATTAGATCACATTGTTTGGCAGTGGTTGCAACACAAACTGACTTTGAAATGTCTAATTGTCATAATTGCAACATTTCAATTTGAAGGTACTTATCTGCATATCTTGCTCTCGGCACACTAGACTTTAAACCAGTGATGGGCGACCTAAGCTAGTGAGTGGGCCACGAGTGGCCCTCCATCTCAGTGGGCCAGAAGATTGTTGTAACCAGGGCAGTCTCTTGGCATAGGGCAGTTCTGCTAACTGCACTTCCGTACTTAGAATTTGCAGGGTGTGCCGACTGAACCATAGCTACACTTCCACTTAATGCAGAGGGAGCACACTGCTCTCCCAGTCAATGTTGTATGCAATCAGCATACACCTTACTTCATGTGCCCTTGCTTTACATGTGTGCCACTACACTGATACTGGTAGGGAAAAAACCTACGTAGGCAGAAACCAGTGGAAGCTGGCAACCCTGCATGTGGGCAACAGTAAACAAAATGTCTTGAGGACCACACATAAAACCTCAATGGGTCACATGTGGCTCTCAGACCGCAGGTTGCCCACCTCTGTGTTAACAATCGTTTGCACAGAGTTCTGAAAGCAACTTAATTAAGCAAATTGACTGGATCATTTTTACGCCTACTAGGATAAATCCAAACAACGATAGGTCTCCGTGATGAATCCCTACTTAACACCGTTTGCAACTCCAAAAGAAGATACTCTTCCATCTGAACAGACTTATCCAACCTGCCTTATTGGAGTTACACAAGAGCTGTCTGCAGTCCCTACAGAGCCATTAAAAGTGTGGTTCACAATACGTTAAGTGAGAGACTGGAGTGGGTGTAAGGTTAAGTTCAAAGGAAGGATGTGGAAGTGTAACTGTGTACACAGTTAACCAATGAGCCTGGGCTCATCAGTTAACCTTCACTGTTACATGCAGGCTCCCAGTATGTACAGGGAGCCAGCTTCTGGAGTGCACCAGCTCCCGGGGAGTCATCTCTCCCCTCCCACACTGGTAGGGGGAGGGGAGGCAGTAGTCAACTGCTGCCCTGCATGCATCTGTGTAATTTTCAGTGGTTACATGGTTATTTAAATGCATTTTAACATCCCTAGTTCATTAGAACATTAGGGAGTTTGTACAACAACAAGTGAGATTCCTAGCCATCTAGCATAGCATGGTAGGACCCTTTATTTTCTGGGTCCAACTTCTACTTTAAAAAGGATAAATCTGTTTATATAAAGCATTTTTCAGTCTCCATTTTACTGGGACTATACAACTGCAGCTTTTAGATATATAGGCAAAATTCTCTCATTGGCAAAGCCAAATTCCTCAATAAAGTTAGCTGTCAAACAACTTATCTTTCAAGTCCACTGTAATGCAGGTAATCAAAGTCCTCATAATTCGTAACATTGCAATGTGGTATGATCCAACCAGAATTTGGCCCCAACTATCAAGTTAACTGGTTCCCACATTATTCAAGCCCCAAACAGAATGTTCGGCAAAATCAGTACCATTGAACATCTGCAAAGTGCTAACAGCTTGATATTAAGCTTTTCTGTACCGAAAGCCTCCATAAAGCATCTAACTGGTTAGCTGTTGAAAAGAGTGACAGTTAAGGTCTCTCCTACACGTATACTAATGGGAAGTAAAGATGTTAGAGTTTAATTGATTAACCAATAAGCGAGTGCGCATCAGTTAAGCTCTGCCTCACTATTAGGGAAGCAGCATTGCTTCAGCAGCAAAGCCACCTCCCTGGGAGTGGAGCCTGCAGCTTCTGCTCAACCGGCTCCCGGGGAGGTGGCTTTTCCCGGGGAGGTGGCCTCCCTGAGAGCTGCAGGCTCTGCAGCATGAAGTCTGTGTAAGTGTTATACTACGGAGCCCACAGCACATGTAACCGCAAAGATTTTTAACAGTTACACAGTCACCTTATTCAACAACTTAACGGGAAGGTAATTTTATTTAAAGAGAATAAATTGCAGATAAACACATTGGCTGATTTCCTAATTACCTTTTTTGATAAGAGCTTACATAGATGCCCAAACAAGGAAGTACAGTCAATGTTAATATAAACAGGATTTCAATGCAGCTCTGACATTGCTACTGTCGAGTCCTTAGGAGAGAGATTTAATGCATTTGGTAGTTTTTAGAAGTAGTTTCTTTAATGTGATCACAAGATAATTGCATGACTATTTTAGAATCTGGAGTATATTATCATGTTCTCTTCTAATCTTGGTCACTTTGCATATACACTAGATACATCACTTTAATTTCAAACAAGCCAGGCTAACAAAATAAGTTAGCAGTCAACAGATAAATATTGCAGGCATGGTATTGAGAGCAGAATTTGACTTATCAGAGGAAAATGGAGACGATTTCTTTCTTATAAATGGCACAAAGGCTTCGTCCATTAAGATATTAAGATTACCAAAGTCCATTTTCAATAATAGAAGTTCTCTTGTATTGAGGCTTCCCAGCTGGTAAAAGACATTAGATGTGTTCTAGAAAGCAACTACAGGGCGTCCCCGCTATAAGCCGCCCCGGCATACATCCATTCCGCACTAAAGTCGTTGATGCTTGTAGGACACATTATAAGTCCTCCCATTCCCCGCTCTTAGGTTGCAAAAAATTTTGTGGAAATGGAAGTCAGCCATGGGAAAAAAATTCCCCACTTTAGGTCCAAGCTCTTTGGAATCGATCTTGGACTTATAGCGAGGCTGGTCTGTACCCAAAAGCCTTTGTTTGCTAGCTCTGTCAGAGTGCAGGGTGAGATTTGTTATTTACATCTTGTAATAGATTATAAAGCCATAGAACTATTATGATAGCCTGGGATTTCCCACTCCTGGGGAGCATTCACTTATTTGCTTTTCCCACGCATCCAAATTACTTACAGAAGCACCCCAAACAAAACAATTCCTCACTTGACAAATGTACATTGCAGTCAAGATGCATGAACATTTGCCAAGGTAGAAGGGCAGCTTTAAGGATGTCAAAACAGCCAACAAAAACCAGGTTATATTCTGTGCAGTGCTAATGGCGCACACAGTGTGGTAGCTGATCTTAAACTTATATACCCTGACAGAAGGTGACCAGAACCAGAGGCTTCAAGGGAAGGACCAAGAAATACGACTGAAGGCAATTTATGGAATAAATGCACATGGGGCTGGAGGAAATTTTCTGTCAGTGCTTGTACACTGAAGGATGAAACATATTCCAGACAATCTGGTATTGATGAAAACATCATTCAGAGACAGAATCAGTAGTCTCTAGTTGCTGTAATGCACACACAAAACTGAGCTCACGCAAACTGCCATTCCCTTCCACGTTAGTTTATGCTTGCTTGCTGCAGACAGATGTTGTAGTTAGAAGACAGGAGATAGCGCCACATCAGCTTTCAGTTTAAAGTGACATTTTAGCTTTCTCTGTCTACATGAAATTCAGTGGTACGGTCCCCCTCCCCACTAAAAAAAAGCTTTCTATGTCAGTAAAATTTAACTTAGGATTTTGAGACTGCTCAAAGCATTGCTCCTGCCTGAGGTTGTTTTGCATGTCCCCCTCATATTACTGCTCCTCTGAAAAGAGGGCCTGGACAATCCTAAGGGGGCACACGGGAAAGTAATAAAAGTCAGTGCAAATACTTAATGCATCCTGCAAACTCACCTGTTCTTTTCCATTTCATTGTGTGTGGACCTGAAAGATAAATGAGGAATTCGTTATTTAATGACTGTCAATTGCAAATGAGCATATGCACTTTGATTAGGAATAACAATACAACGGCTTTCGTAACCATTCTCTGGACAAGCTGCAAGCCACTATTGTACTTCAGAGAAAACTGCTAGCTACCTTGGGGACAGCAGAAAGTGTGGAAGCAACCAAGATACACTGAAAAGTATGGAGCAACCCAGCTTTGGTTTTCTGCCAGGGAAATGGCAATCTAAGACCAGAAAGGGCTGCAAATCATGATTCTGAAAGCTTAGTTGTGAAGAGGTATGGGACTGTAACTGCTTTAATAATAAGTAAGAAAGCATAATGAAAGGGAACTCAAGACAGACAGTATACTCCACTGGAAGTAAGCAACCCCTCAACTAGAGATAAATAACTTTGGGGGCAAGCATGTAGTAATAGGCCTTTGGCATTAAGTGCATGATGCTAGTGCAAACTAAAAATGTTATCTTAGCATAGGAAAACAAAAGGAAAATGATTCCATCTGAACATGTATTTCACATCAATTAAGAGCCACGGGTAATTTCAGACATGCTCTCAAAGTGTATTGCTAACTGGTGGTTTGGCGAGGATATTTAAGTATTTCTCTCCCTATTGCTGTGCACAAGAATCACATCAAGAGGGAAGCCAACTTTATAGGAAAACACCTATAAAATGCCAAGTAAGAGGAAAAAATCCTGAAGAAATGAAGAAAGAAGTTATCTGAACTTTGATATTCTTAGATGGTATTTTTAACTCGTTTGAAAGCCACTGTTATTAGTGCTTTGAGTAGAAGAGTTATATTGCAGAATAAAATGAAGTTTTAACTAGAACCTTTAACATTAGATATCCCAAAATAACAAGGAAAGCATCATAACACAACAGTAATTAAACACTAGCAGACATGTACTAGTCGTTCTTCCCCCTCCCCCCACTGTCTCCATCAGAAAGAGGCAGCAAGGTGGGGGCCAGGTCCCAGGCTCCACGCAGCGCTGCTGCTTTGAAACACCGCGTGCAGTCTGGGGCCAGCTGGGGAGTCCCCAAGCTCCATGAAGCCTTTCAAAGCGGCAGCACCACATGGACCCCAGGGTCAGCGGGGAAGTCCCCAGGTGACCCTGGGCTCCACATGGCACTGCCGCTTTGAAATGCTGTGGGGAGCACGGGGCCAGTGGGACTGCCCTGCCCTGCTGGCCCTGCGCTCTCTGCAGCGCTTTTGCCTTTGAAATGGAGCAACAGCCTTAGGGCTGATTCTACACTTCCAAGTCGGAGGTGCCCTTATTGACTAATCAAATTCTCGATTCAAATTAATTGACTAATTGAATAGTCAATGCAATCGAAGTGTAACATCCCTAGCATGGACACCACAACATAATGAATGACGAGCAGCCTTCTACTGAATTTCTAACTGGCTTCCAGCTTTCCATAAAGGATGGCATCTTGAACACTGCAGCACTGAGCAGGAAGCAGAGATTTCTCTGATACCAATGAGTGATACCAAATGAGCCATGTGACTTGTACACTGTGTTCAGTCCATTTTACTGAGAACGAATATCAGGAAGATCACGTAGGTGAACATAGGAATCCTGTGCAAAACTTTTCCAGAAGTTAATCACAGACTATAGTGCTTTTTGTTTTTAAAAAAATGGAAGAATGACATTAAAATTTGAAAGCTTTAGAGGGGTAGCCGAGTTAGTCTGTAACAGAAAAAACTTTAAAAACGACAAATAGTCTACTAGCACTGTAAAGACTCACAAAACATGTAGATGGTATCATGAGCTTGTGTGGGCACAATCCACTTCTTCAGAGTACCTTAACATTTGAGGTTGGTATTAAATTAAATTAAATATTAAATAATTCAGTCTTCCTTCTCCCCTTGCAAGATTTCAAGAAAAAAGGAAGGAAACAGAAGAACAGGCTTTTCCTATAAATAAGCAAAGCCAGAATGCCTAAAAAGATGTACATAATTTTCAGGTTACTGTTGACTGAATGTTGCACACATGCTAACAACAGAAATCTGCCATAACTTCTCTTTAAAGCTTTAAATTAACAGCATTAATGTGGGGCAGAAAACTTGAGGGAAAAACCTCAACCATTACAAAGGAATGTGTATATCTGAAAATTTTCCTCATTTATCCTGTGCCCGAGCCAGAAAGTGCCACTGTTTTCTAGATGTTTCAATAAATTAAGCACATTTTATTGTTCATTAAGCAATGCTAGGAACTTATAACTTGCAGTGTCTTCAAAGTATATTTCTGGTATTTGTCCTGAATTGCAATTTCCTCACAGAAACTTCACTCATAATATTTCACAATGGCTTGATCTTGGTTTGGCAAGTTATCCCCTCCCTCCACTTTGCCCCCTGGTGTTTCTAATGACATTAATTTTAACATGGTTCATTTTGTTTACTTTCAGATTACTCAAATATTCAGCTTCCAAATTAATTTAAAAAAATCATGATATTTTTATTTCATCTAGGGATGTTAAATTTCGATTAATCAGCTAATGAAGTGGTCAATGGAATTTCCATCAACGACTTGATTAGTTGATGGGGTGGGGGGGGAGGGAGCACTTGCTGCGTCTCTGGCTTTTAAATTGTAGTAAGAGCCAGTCTTGGACAGGTGAGGCAGAGGCTTTTCCCCAGCATCCTCATGGTAAGGCCAGCCCTGAAAGGGAGGGTGTTGGGGGGGGGGGGGGGGGGGGGGGGGGAGGGAAAATGAGAGAAGCCAATTCAAATACTCTTCTACATCTGTAATTGCAACTGAGAATGAAAGGCCTATATTTCTTAATACATCATTTAAATGGATGCATATTAGTCTGACATGTAACTGAGATGGAAGTTCTCTTGCCAGGGCACCTATAAATGGTTGGAGAGAGAAGAGACTTTTTGGTTCCACCAGTTTCCCCTTTCTGGATAAAAACCAGAGAAATAAAAGAAGTGCAAGTTTGAACTCTTTCTCACCTCCCAATCATGCTTCCTGAGTTCAAGACATTAAAATGAACTTGTAGTTTACCACAGTCTGAATCTCTAATCTGGCACTCTCTGGTCCAGCAACATCCGGGGTCCAGCTTGATTTTAGTTAGCCGCATGTCCACTTACCACAGGTGTGACCAAGTTTCCCATGGTCCCTAAAGTTTGTTTACAGCCACCAGTCCTGGCTGTGAGCATTCTGTGTTATTTAGCTCTAATTGACCCCTGAAGCTCTTCTAAGAGTCCAGTAAGCAGTGGAAGTGCTGCTAGACAAAACTGTCCTCCCATTGTTTGGCAAATTCTTTGGTTCAGTATTGGTCAGGTCCCCAGGAGTGATGGCTCATTAATAAGTCGTATCAATTCAGTATTGGTACCAAAAGTCAGTTGTCCATTACAAACACATTGTTAACTGAATACGTCCTCTTTAGACTTACTAACTTTATGTTCAGGAACACTTTGCTAATGGCAAGATTTGTACCCCAAAATATAGTTCCATTAGCTCGTGAATTCTGTTTTTACAACACAAACTGTAAGGAGGATCATTTCCAATTCCCATGTATACAAGATGCTTAGCGATAAACATTAGCTTCCTTTATTTGGAATGTTTCAAATCATATCCATCTGAAGTGGAAAGGCTGAGCATAGTAATTTTGAGATATGTTGGTGTTTTGTTTGACAGTTTCAAAGCAACTTTGATAACACCCAGTTTGTGTTCAGAACCTCAAACAAACAGAGCCCATTTCCAGGAAGTTAATATCTGCACTAGATAAATGGTTGCCCAGTGTACATAGTACCCATAATTCTAAAAGAAAGAAGAATTTCCAAGCCACAGATGCAAACTCGACCATGATTACTAAACAGTGACAAGTCTTCAATGCCAACCTTAAACTCAATAGAAAAAAAAAAATAATAACCTCACCGCTCCTCCGCTCTCCCTGACAACAGACAGATCATGTTATAGTCTAATACTCAGCTAATAACAATCATACTGGACACACAAACCTATTACAATAGGAAATACTGATCACATTCTAGAATTTAAATGCAAAACTGAGGCATGCAACTAAGATTACTTCTGAGCTTTGACTTTTTAATGAATTACATGTACCATTACAGATACTGAAAAATTGGTGCACCATCTATAGTTTAAAATTTCTTAAAGAACTTAGTAGTAACTCACTCCATTGTTATATAAGCCAGAATTAAGTTATTCTTGCTAGGCTAAGATACTTCCATGATCAGTATTAAAGGGTAGCTCTTAGCTTGAACTCTAACCATCTCTAAAAAGAGAATTAAGCCTAGTCTACACTACACCCCTCCCCTATCAGTCTAATGGATTTGACAGGAGAGTGCTCGGAGGTAGATTTATTGCATCTAAGCAGATGTGATAAATCGCATCTACTGATCACTGCAGCGCTGATCCACCTTGTAGTGAAGACAAGCCCTTAGAAGTAGCCCTAGGTATTATACATGACCCTAGGGTCACTTGCCAAGCTGTGTTTTATTATCAGATGTTCCTATTTCATGTCTTTTTCCTCCACTGCAGTGAAAATTCCACACAAATGGGATATAGGAGACCTAATCTGCTCTCCCCTGAAATCAGGCGGGGAGGGAAGGGAGTCAGATAGACTACACAAAGGAAAGATTGAAATTATTGAACAGCTCTGTGTCTAGTCAAAGTATTGGACTGGAGCATAGAGATGGGCAATTAATCTCTCTCAACCACTGTAATATCAGCTATTACTTTAAAAATAGATTGTCTTAATTAGAAAGTTTTAAAAGGATACTGCCAACTTAAGAATCAAACTGTTTAAAACAAAGAGTCATTTCACATTTCCTAATGAAACAGGAAATATTTAGTCCCTAGACAGAACAGCTAAAAACAGGCCAGTAAGAACAGAAGTGGTCACCCACACAATATTTACAGATTAATTTGCTCTTACTGCTTTCTATATCATATTTCCCCCATTAATTAGGATCTGATCCTTAGGTCACTTTTTATATATAAAAATCAAGAGCTCATCTTCAATGACAACACCGCATACCTTTAAATACCACTGTTCTTGCAGGTTAGCTGAGCTTTATAACTCACAATTCATTTAAATACTTAAGTTACAGAACTCAGAGAGCCTGAAGAAAATGCTGATTAAATTTTCACTAGATACATTAAGAGGTAGGCCAGTTCTTGTACTGTCAACCACAATTTTTAAAGGATTTCTAGGGTACTCAACTGCAAGAACATCTCTCTCTCACCACCCTAGAGAAGCAGAGACAAAAATCTTGGCCCAGATGCTTTAAGATTAAAAAAAGCATTCATATCATCAATAGATAAAATGGCTAAAATTTCTTGACAAAGAAGCCTTCAGATCTACATTGTTAAATGTATTCTTCTTAGTATGGAGATACAAAGGAAACATCAGGACTTTAAACTTTTTTCCACCTTTGCTCAAGATACATCCCTAATAAAGTATGTAACTGATTAACCGATAAGCCAAACCCTCTCAGTTAAAGCTATAGACTAAACACATCTCCCCCACCCCCAATAAATATTTTAGCAGGCTGGCTGCAGCTCTGCATTTGAGGCAACAGCGCAGGGCAACAGGCAACCAGTCCAAGAGGGGAGCTGTTTTTTAAACTGGCTTCCCTCATGGACCAGCTCCCATGTGGTACCCAACACTGCTGCCTCTGTTACAGAGGCAGCAGTGCGAAGTGGAAGAGGGCAAGCCAAGGAACTTCAGTTTTAACTAGCAAGAATTTAGGGCATTAAAAACTTCACTAAAAAAAGGCTTGCAGAAATTGCTTATTTAAAGTTCAACATCTTAAGCCAAAATGAATTTGGATAAATTAAATCCCAGCAAAACACATCTCATGTACTGAGTGATTTAGCATTTTTAGCTGACCCAAAAGCCAAGATGTATACTAAATCAGAGATGAATAATCTGTAGCAAAGCTCTAGATGGATTTCAAGATGAATAATAAATAAATCAAGCTGTCAAACAAAAGTGGCACTGGAAGCAAGATTTAATCTAACTGTCAAACTAGAACCATGTCACTTTCTGCACTCATAATTTAGCTTTAGTTAAGGATTCCTGAACAAATGCTTAGAGAGAAATAGAAAACGTTAGAAAATTTTAGTCTCACATAGCACATGTATCTTCAATTCTCACATTAACTTTAGAAAGAACATTTATATATGGTCACACAATAAAATTCTTTGTATGTTTTCTGAGGGAAAAAAATCAAATACAATAAATAAATAAGACAGTTTCTGCTCTTTTGAGAATTCTTTAAAAAGTAACTGTTGTCAAAATGTTTGACTATGTTTATGTTAAACATGCACACAAATGTCTAAATGTATGCACACCTATTTCATTTTTGAGTATTCATGCTCCATTGAAAGTTTTATTTCACAGATATCTTTTTACATATCTGAATGGATGTGCTAACAAAAATACTTTAAGAAAACAAAGTGCCAAAATCAAAGTTTGATTCCCTTTGAGAATAGTCACAACACATTACCTTCATTATAACCACAAGCTGACTCATTTTATTTTTAAATGGTTTAAACTTAATAGGATGCATCCCTGCAGAGCGTGCAACCCAAACATTAAGCAGCCTGCTCATGTAGAAAAGCCTAAATATAATTGTCTGAAAGCAAAAGTGAAACTGACTAGTCCTTTCATTTCCCATGTTATAGAAATAAAAAGCCTAATTAAGTTACTAAACTGAATATCTTAAAATCCTAATCTGATTTAACACAAGGACTTTGTCAAGAAAGAAAATATGGACTTTGTCAAGAAAGAGAACATATAGTGATAAACACCCCATCATTAAAAATATCACTATAAGGTGAGGTATAAGCTGAAAATATTAATATATACTCCAGGTTGTCACAGGGCTGTAATACCAGAAGTGACAAGACTCTGCAGAAGATCTCTCTCTCACACACACACACACACACTCTACCATATATCTGCCATTACCTGCTATTACTGCTGTTTTTCTTGGACTTGCTTCTCCGTTTTAAGGCATCTCTGTCCTTGTTATTGTAGGGTAACATAGAGGCATAGCCATGCTCTGCTTCTAAAAAAGCCAAATTTTCACTTGGTCATTAAGATAGCCCAAAAGACAGACAGACAGACATCCAGGCCCATTTGGGAGAGGGGAGGAGGAGAACATATTTGAAAAGCCGAAGGTGGGATTGAATAAGATTACTTAGTTATCTGCTAATGAACACCACACACAGCCTTGTACAAAAACCTCCAGGCTCAGGCACTCCATTGTTTCCAGCACGGGGGTGACATGCCCACGCCATACACGGGGGAAACCGCGCAGACGGCGAGCAATAGGGATGCTAAGGAGGGGATCTGGAAGCTGGGTCGTGCAGGGCGCCCCCCCTTTCCCCCCCTCCCTTGTGCAGGGCG